AATACCCAGTACTGATTATCATGTTTCTTCGAAGCGGCCTCTACATCACTTTTGGGAACCAACACCTCTTTGCTGCTGGAACGCCCACAGTAAATTTCATGGAATTTGCGTTTTAGCGCCTCTTATCTAGTATTATCACTTTTTGACCCCACCTATGTTCCCGTCCCACCCTCTACATCACTTCTTGGAACCAACGCCCCACTGCTGCTGGGACGCGCGCTATGAATTTCGTGAAATTTGCGTTTCAGCGCCTCTTATCAACTCTTATCAGTCGTTATCACTTTCTGACCCCCATCAAATATGTTCCCGTCCTGGTATCTAGCACCCACCCACACACAGACATAATTAGTAAATTATATATATAAGGACGAGTGTGCGAGGTGGAAAACAGAATATCAGGAGAATGGCCTTAGAAAGCCACACAGGAAAAAACGGAACGACGGAATCATTATTTGTAGTGTGATTTTACAAGCTAATTTTATGTTTCTTTGAAGTCTTAATGTTCTAGTTTCTAATTTGCCGTTAAGATCTACACAAGTTTACAATAAGTTGATATGAAGGAAGTGATGAACGTTTGAAAACTCGCATGTGCACAGAAAGGGAACAAGAGTTAAACATTCCCAACGGCATACACTATTTATTAGGTCATCTCATTCAAACATGTCCAGACATCTAGAGAAATGGTGGGAAAAGTAAAAGAGCTAGAGCATTCTACTTGCTTTTGCTTTTAAGCTAGCACACCCAGCTACGGTATACCCTAATTTAGTTTGTAGTGCCGCAGGAAGGAAACACTTAAAAACATAAAAGAATTCATAGTGACCCAAATCGAGGCGGAATTTCCAAATGATTGGTGACACACGTAAAATTCGCAACTCGAATTCTCTGTGTGCTGGCTCAACTTACGCGTGATACAGTGTTCTCGAAGTGCTACGTTGAAGATATGGTGTGAGAGCTCAAAGAAGGGAGAACGGAAGCGAGTTGTGGTTGAGGACGCGTTCATATTGTCCACCTTGCCCAAGAAGAGCGGGTGGATGAAATGAGGTTTCAAATGGCGCATCACAGATGTTGAACCTTTGCGATGTTTGCCCACGAGACTTGCAGTCTAGCTGCACCTGTTACGCAAATTGTGCCCAAAAATTGGGGATGGTCCACAGAACATGTTTTTGGATATCCATTTACTCCCAGATGCAGGAGTCCAGAATCGAATTGGTGTCTGTAGCAATGATCTTCTCTGCCAATAACGTCATTTAAGACTATCAAACTGGACCCTGCTCATAAACGAAATTTGTGTGGAATTGTACGCTGAGGCCCAAGTCAGAAGCGTCAACTTTGGATTAACGCGAATGAGGAACTGCCCGAATTGGATCACGAGAAGTCACGTGGGTTCACGTGGATGATTATTATGGCGATGGATTTCTGAGATGTGCCTCTTAAATGGCTCTGTCGGGAAAAAACCTCCGGCGTTTCTCAAGTGTATGGCTTGTTTCTTAGCGAACAAATTGACAAAGGAATAGCAGTACAAAACTACAATAACGATATCATCACCTATGTCGATACCAGACCCTACATAGCTCATATTGCTCACGGGTATTTCGATCAAACGGATATTGTGACCTCTTCTTATCAGCCGTATTTTCCCAACTGCAGCCATGCGATCTCAGCTGTTCTGTCGGACAGAACGCCCTACTCGTTTGGAAGCGCTACGACAATTCGTTGATCATCTATACTGACATCGAAAGCATCTTGTCCGTACTTATTGAAATGAAGAGGCTGCGCGGTGTCCAGTGTTTCCTAGACGCTGCGATCGGGTCGTTAACAACGGAAAGATCTGCTTGACTTAACACCAAAGTGTTAGCTCTTTATCTTTCTTGCTTTTCATTTTATTCGAATAAAA